CCCCACATACCCCGGGGGTGGGCGATGGATTCTATCGGATGCTGAGGGCATTCGGCACCAATATCCATCAGCTTCAAAAATGCCGTAGTGCAACTCAATTTGCTCAGCAAATCGATATTGATCGGCGTTCTCTACCCACCATGAGTAGGGGCGGTTCTTTATCATGGCCGAAGCGACTTCGGCATTCTCCCACTCTGAAAACCCAGGGAGGATATCCCAAAGGACAGCGGGAATTTCATCGTCCCGTCCAGAAGCACTCGGCTCATCCGTTCTTTGAGGAGGAGCCGAGGAAAGGGGAGTCGCCCTAATCCCTTCAGCAGGGTCAGACTCCGGCCTTTGACCATTCCAGGTCCCAATCCTATTCCTAGGATCGGGAATCGGCCTTGCTCTTCTTGGAGCACGGGCTCTACCTCTAACTCCTCTTGCCATGGATTATTTCGAAGAGAAAAGTCGAAAGAAAAGGGGAAGGAGTTCGAATTCGAAGAAAAATAAACTGAAATCAAAGGAATTTACCTTAATCTGAAGCGAAAGTTGCCGATTTACGAGTTCGTAGTGGCAAGTCTCAGTTTCTAAGCTCAATGCTCGGGGGAATTTGCGAAGTTTTGATGCGGGTTCTTGGTTTCTCTCTCGAAGAATTCTGGGTTTGTGTTGGTGAATAAGTGAGGAGAATGACGCGCCTCTGTTTATATCTCCAGGTACGGGATACGAAGAGTCTGTGCTTTAATTTCTCTTAAGTACCCACTAAGTAACCATTAAACACATGTCTTGTGATTAAACCGCCCATTATCCGTCCAACTTCCGCAAATCATTAACCGTTGTTATCTCATTAATTACGGTTTAAATTCAAATTTTTGGATCAATTAAATCATTTACTTCCCTCCTTTTCTGAGTTAAATCAAACCCGACCCGTCATTCTTCCAAATCGGGTCTGGGGGGCAAGTTGTTTGGGTCCAATTTAGTCAAAATTGGGCCTGAGCACTAAATGATCCAATTAAAAGCCCAAGGTCAAGGTTCAACTCTCCAATTGCTCAAAAGTCAAAAGTCAGCCCACAAAGTAAGCCAATTGGGCTAAAGCCCAACCTCTCCAAGTATGATGAGGTATAAAAGCCCTCATATTAACACATTCAAGGGGAGATCACATACATTATCTCATACACAGATTATTCCAATTCATATGCTCATTCTTGCATTCAGAAATATTCCACAAAAGCCTCAAGCTACAAACTCTCTTGCATAGTGTCTTCCTTTTACACATTATACTGACTTTAGCATCGGAGGGGCCTTCCTCGGAAACACCCCCGAGGCTAGTTTACGTGTGTTCACTGTGCAGGAAACCTTCGGCCCAACACAACTTGGATCGAATCCAGTCTTCTCCATTTCAACGGACCTTCGGCAAGGTCCCATTGTTTTCAACCGAAACAGATAGTAATCGTGTCATTCTAAATTAGATTTTTTTCGTAGAGAAGTTCAATAAAAGTCACTTGTATTTTAAAACAAAGTTTTGTTGAAAGTAAAACAAATGTCATTTATTAGTTTCCCTAAAAAAGTCATTTATTATTCTAATCTAGAGATCAATTTTCAATATTGACCATAAGCCCTAAAATACAACCTACATTTTAATAATCAAACTAGTTTTTGAGCCGGGCGATGTCCCGGGTTATTACATAGGGTTGATTATTAATATATATTGTAGTTTATAATTCAATTTTTTTGTAATTTAATTTATTGTTCATATTGATTTGTCATTTGTTACATATTAATATTTTGTATTAAAAAAAATACATAAAAAATAACTTAGCTTGGTAGTTTTAAATTTAGAGGTTGCGTGTTCAAATCTTGTGGAAAGCATTTTTTTAGTCTACGTGACACGCGGACATTCTTATAAACTTCTTTTAATATATTAGTATAAATATCGAGTTCTTGATCTCCGCAAATGTTCAATATCTTTACAAATTGCTGACAATTTCGAGCATTCGCACCTACCCATTGCAAAACGGATGAAAATTTAGGCTTTGTTTGGTTGATTTGGGAATTTAATTCCAATAGGAATTTGTACTTCGATCATGGGAAAAGAAATTCCTAGGAATTTCTTAAATGTATTTGGTTGGGAATAAGGGAAATTGAAATTCCCATGAATTTTTGTTTACCTAGGAGGGCTTAGGAATTTACTTTCCATCTTTTGTGGGAAATAGAAATTTCCATGAATTCCCACTTCTGCTATATTTGTTTTTTTATGTCAACCAAACAACTACCCATTTTATCAATTCCCATGAATTTCTAATTCTCTCATTTTATAATGTCAATTGAGCGATTTATTGTTGTTTTTTTAGCGATTCATTGTTATTGTTTTTGAGCGATTTCTTCGTTCTTCGTTGTTGTTTAATTTTTGTTCTTCGTTGTTGTTTAATTTCGTTGATTTATTGTTTTTGAGTTTAATTTTCTGGATTGATTTTTGTTTCTTGATAATTTTGTTGTGTTTTTTAGGGTTGATTTATTGTTTTTAGAGTTGTTATAGTTGTAGATACATCATCATCTTCTATTGAAATAGAATGTGATTTATCAATGATCTTTGCCCCATATTTTGAGTATAAATCACAATGTCTTGTAGCTTTCATGCTCTGAAGTTTAACATCAATATCATTATGGTTTAAGGCTTAAACCGTCTAATGGTGTTTAAGCATTAGCAATAGAAAAAGATATATGTATTGGTTGGATCACAATTCACTTGTTTCGGACTTTGGAGAGGATTTTTATTTTTTGATGTTAGTGTCAAAAGTCATTTTAGTAAGATTTGAAGCTTAGTATTAATATATGTATTGCAAAATGCTTGTGTCAAGGTTAGGTTTGTTCTAATCGATGGTAAGAGGGACGTGAGCTACTTCCTGATTTACACGAAGTGTATCTATATGGTGTGATTGATAAGGGTTGTTGATTTTGAAGAAGGAATACACTTTCAAACTAATACTCGTAGTGTGATATGGCATAACATTATTTGGTGTCTTATTTTAGCGTATCATGCTAGATATGGGTTAGGGGGAAGTATCTGATTGTGTATACTAAATAATGAAATAAGAATATTTGAAACTTTCTCCTGATCCAATTTTATTTTATTTTTGTAACCTTCTGTGGTAAATTTATCTTGTTTAAATTAATATGTAATCCACGGATAACTATATATGGCTGTAGGTTTTATCCCTCTCTCTTGGATTATGTTTTGGTATGCAGGACTTTAATAGGATTATGAATTGATTGGATGATTATAGTTCATTTCTTAATGATTTTGAAGTTTTTATTAGTTAGTTGTGTTGAAATATTAAATTGGGCTAGATTGATATGCAGTGCTGAGTTCCGGATGAAATATTTTGCGTAGAATGCAAGTGTGATCAAGTAGTATGGGGAAAATGTATTGTGCCAGCAGAATCTTTATATACTACCTCCGTTACACATTATGTACAACGATTAGACATTTTTTCTCTCTACTTTATGTCAAATCGTTGCAAATAATATGTAATGGAGGTAGTAGGTTAAGCAGAGGTCTTGAGTTTCTCAATTTTATTTATTTGTGTCCTCTAGGTTTTGAGAGAGGGCTTTGGAGTATTTGGGTATATTTTCAGTTTATATTCTCTCAGTGGGGTGGAGGAATTTGAATTGAGATAAAGCCTGAGATATCGATTGTTCATTGTTGGTTTGGAAATAATTGGAAGTGTATATAAGGTCAAGTTAATGCTAGTCTCTCGAGGTAATTGTGAATATACTTGTTGATTTTGTAATTGTTGGGATAATTTTTGGAGGTATTTATGTCTATTTTTGTAGGGAAGTTCATCTATATTTTTTGGGTTTTTAGGAATCTGAGATTGGTTTGATAAGTCCTGAAACAGTGAACTAATGTTGGTGATTGGATTATACTTGTGATGAGCGAAAAGTTACATTCTGAGATGATTGAGATGCTTAGCTGAATCATCATTATGTGTTTGAAAAAGAACTTCTTTGCATCTGTTCTTAGTTGTTTAAAAACTTCCATACTTTATCTAAAACAAGCAAAATCACTCCACATTCAAAACATGGGGTAATTTGTACTACAAACCTTGGATAAGTTAGAGCAAGACTAGTGCAGCAGCCATCTACTCCTGCATACAAATTCTTAAATGGATCTGGTTCACACTAATTTATTGTGGACCACTAATATTATAAACAATATGATTGTTTTATTAATAAAAAAAAGTCACTATATTAAAATAAAGGTTATTAAGTTGAAATAAAAGTTAGTATGACATTATAAAGTTATAAGAGATTAATTTTTTTAATGAATTTTTTAATATAATGGTCAATATGAACAATAAAGATCACTATGTTAAAATCAGGTCACTATTCAACATAATGTCGTACTTTAAGTTAACAATAACATAAAAAGATCATACAAATTTTAAAAAAGGTTACTGTGTTAAAAATAAGGTTATTATAATATAATTAGGGGTCACTATATTGAATATAATGTCAGTTACGTGTGTATAAAACTTATGTCCACAATAATATTATTGTGGACTTTGTGGACCAGATCCACACAAAATTTTCCGACTTTTGCATGCCTTTATGTTTAGGCTATGATGTCTAGTTTATGATGTCTTGGATACTTTGGTTACTACCCTGTATTATGTAATATGTAATGGTTTTTGTATTTGAGTTTTGATTCCTATGATTCTCTGGTTTTAAATTTTCTGGTTACTATTGTTTCAAAAAGGTCACTATAATTTACATTTTGATTTTTTTTTTCTATAATAATGGTGCCAAAGACTTGAAGAAGAAAACTAGAGCTAACAAGAAAAAGGAGCAAAACAAAGAGTTTTGGACATCATGACAACTGTTCCACCATGCATTCAACATTTAACAAAGCAATTTTTCTTTTGAACGATTTGAATATTTGGTCAATGATTATAGCCATATAGGTATTCATTTATTTGAGAAAGTTTGCTATGTGGAACAACTCAACTATTATCAACTTGTAATTTGAAAATGATTTGTACAATTATTATAAAATAAAATAAAAGAACAAAACTGTTGGGCATGGCCGCATGAGTGCCCTTAATATTTTTTGAAAGGATCAAGGTTACCTAATGCCTAAGATATTATCTATACCTATACAGCTATGAATTTCAGTAAAAAATTTAAAATGGATATATACAACTTCAGATCGTAGCCGGAAACCTACTTACAGTACCTAAGTTCACAGCCACAAATGAACATTACACATCAATATAAATACAGCCAAATGGCTTTACTTCAACTTGTACACGGTTACCTAGTGTCAAGACTCCTCCGTAATGCATGTCAAGCTATGTGAACTTTCGGAACTTTCTGTTACCTAGGACTCTTGATGCTTTTCTAGTCTTAATTGTGTGTTCAAGCACTGCATATATCCTTACACTTGAACACAGGTACTTTGATACGGAATTTAAAGTCCCAAGTAAAAACTGGCTGACCACGCCATCCTCATCAGAAATTCCAATATAAGACTGCATGAGAATTCACTAATTCCATAGCAACAGCAATAACAAGGGATTGTCCTGACTCCTGAGGCTTTAGACTTAGCAAATGATAAATAATTCCACGCCCATTGCTTCTCTTGTTGATAGAAAAATCCCTCAGATTATCCACAAAAAGTCCAAGCAGTCCAGCTCCTAAGAAGTGCCCATTGCAGTTGAGTGTTCTCGGAAGACACATTCCAGAAGCTCTTATACCTGAATGTAGCAAGTGTCACAACTAATGAATTCAGCTGAAAAACTACAGAAGCCAGCTGCAGAAACCTGTAAAATGCCATGTATATTATCAGAACCTTTTCCTCGCTTAAAGGCCGTAATGATATGCAAAAGAGAAAGCTGCGAGCACTATACACTTCATTGTAAATGGGGGGAAATTATCACCAACATAATCAATAATAACACAGATCCAGTTGTGTCTTCACATAAATGAACTTGTCATAATTTTAAACAATTATGTTGGTAAATTCTCTCCCTTTTTGCCGTTAGTCTCACTTTTCTAATCAGCTCATCACTGCAATGGTGGTTGTATTGGTATTAAGGAGAGAAAACCTGAGCCAGATCAGGATGATTCCAAAGAAAACGAGAGTCCCACCAGTGGCTGACAGGCTGCTACTCCAGTAGAGCAGACATGATTTTTAGTGGGAATGCCTTACCCAATGGATCTATAAAGGACCCCGTGTCCGTTAACTAATGCCAGTAAAGGCCAAGTAATCCTTGCATCTCACAGAGTTACAGGAAGGACAAGTGACAGAAAAGTAAACAAAAGGGAGAAGTGAGGGGAACTGGACAGACAGAGAGAAGGGACTAAAGCGCACAATCAGAATGCCTACAGCTACCAGGCAATAATCAGAAGCGAGGAATTGGTGGTGAAGATAGGGTGCCACATGGAACCATATCACTATTTAAAATGAAGTTTTCAAGTAAATCTTGTGTTTAAACCCTTTTCCCATATCTCTGTTCAATTCTCACCACTAAGCAATAACAAATTTCATGCAACTTACATAATGAAGACAAGGCCTGCATTACCTCCAAATCACAGATCCAAGTTTTTGCTATTTGTCCAATTGTCCCAGCCACAATTCTTGAATATGGTGTTTTATGTTATAAGACCACCTTAGAAGAAGCAAACTTCCTTATAAGTGGGCTTGGGAGGGGATTTATTTGGACGGATATTTGGACTACTATTTGTAAAACCCATCTCTCAAGTCTCACCTACCCACTTCCACAATCGCTACAACCAGTCAACCACCAGTCCACCACCTATGCCGCATAACACCCAAATTCGCCTACTCTCTCCTTTACCACCACTCAAATCTACACCCACTACTAAATTTCCTTCCCAATCCTTTTTCGACTTCACAATCCTAAAATTGAACAAATATTTCACTTATTGCTTGAATTATTCAATGTATAAATGTTGAAGTAAATAAAAGTTGAGAACAAATTTTTTACAAAAGATTAATCGTTAAATGAATTGGAGGAGGCTTTAAGTGCAGTGTGCGGGTGGTTGTACGTGAGATGCCCCTGTTAGTCAATCTTATAGAAGACCCACTGTTGTCCCAACTGTATAAGCATCTCTATCATTACTAGTTCACAGCCTCATAACATTATATGAATCTTATAGTTAAGGCCTTACGGGTTCATTTGGTATCATTGCAGTTTTCTGTTTTTTGTTTTTTAAAATCATGTGATATATTTTTTTTTTGAACAAAAATCATGATAATATTGAAAACTGACTGCAGAAAAGTGGAATAAACTCTTTCTAGTTTCCCGTTCTTGGGTTTTTGTTTTAAAATAAACAGAAAACAAAAAAATGATCCCAAACAAGCCTTGTCGAAGTTAAAGCAGCTGTGCTAGCATACAATATGATACAAATCTAAATAATCAATGAATGCATCAGAACTTTTGATAATTTACCTGATTAGAGGTCCTGAAATAATTCCTTGGCTTGAGCAAGAGGGTTCACTTGACAAACTTCTCTTGCCCACACATTTTGTAAAGCATGCAGAGTCATATGCTCCTCCAAAAGATTCTTCTCCAACATGCTGACAGCATCAAAATCCATCGCGTGACCAGTTATATTCTGTAACATTGGTCATTGGTTTATCAGAAAAAAATATATACAAAGTAGATAAAAAGCAGACTAAAAACAATAGTTATGTGCCACAAAGTCCTATTCACTTGGTTGCCTATCATAATCAGTTTTAGAAGGTATTTCTCATCCTTTTTTAAATATATGATTGCAGAAACAAGACAAAAAAAAATGTAGCCAACCTATAGGTAGAATAAGATAAGAAATACAATACCAAGGAAATGCTACAAAATAGGCAAAACAACTTAAGCAAGAGAACATATAATCTGAACAAGTAGTCATTATGTTTCATCAGCTAAGGTAAACCTCTAGTCCAAAAGTTTCACACTCATGATTTTTCTGAAACATCCACTATCATATCTAGCTTTGGATTTGACCTAATATATCTCAATTTCTGTTCTGAAATAGAAGGTACTAACCCATAATGTGCTAGAACAAGCATTTAACATTATAAACTTAAGCAGATTCTCATCTTGACCGCCAAAAGTGCAATCTGAACCATCAGAAAGCTGAATATCTTGGCATGAAGCGTCATGTATGGATCCATAATTTTTCACTCGTAGTCGTCCATGTTTCTTCAAAATTCTGTCAATATGGTAACTGGGTGTACTGAAGACCCTGCTTCTACTTGCAGCCTTTGATCTCCACCAACAACTTCCAGATTTTGCCTGAGGAATCTCTTCATATAGCCTCAAAAATGTTGCTGCTCTTTCACCATGAGTCCAACAACAACATTGTGATGACCCATCATCTGTTTAGATTTGAATAGTTAATAAGGATGATAAAATTAAGTAAAATCAATTCAATCCACAAATTTGGGAAAAGCTTTTCACTGATAGTATATATTTTGGGAAAGTCATACCCTAGCCAAATAATGAGGATAAACCTTTTGACTTCTATCCTAACCAGTCAGAGCATTAATGAAAAATGGTGTGAGACATAAATAAAACTGATCCGAATTTAATTTATCATTGAGTAGTACTTTGACTACGGAGAATTTTAACATCCAATATATCAGCACAAGAAATCTAGCAAAATTTCTGTCTGAAAGCCTACAGAATTTCAGTAAAATGTAAAGCATAGATAATCAAAACAGTTAACAGAACATTCACAAACAGATAAAACATTCATGTTCCTTAATTAGTGACAGGAAAATTTCAATCATATAATTCGATCAATGGAATGCCATTGATCATAGAGATACTAAAGAATTCCCATAACGAAAAGTTTACATTCGTATTTTAGTCAGCATACATGTTCAGCCATTTATTTACACACAACTTTCATACAATAAGATTCTTAAATATGATGACTATATTTTCAACAACACGCTACAACCTCTGCCCCAATATAATCTTCCACTTAGACTTTGGCATGCACATTAATAATATTAACAGGGGGTAGGCCAAAAAGTAGTTATGAACACAAAGTTGTAAATAGAACGATTAAAAATGTAGCATGAGAAATTGTCGGAAATGTAAGAGGAAAAGGATTGATTTGAAAGGAAAGAAAAATGGTAGTAAGAGAAAAGGGGAGACCAAGTCACATCAGGGTAGGGATTTTTAATACTAGAATAGGTTATAGGAAGATAGTTTAAGGACATCCCATTTCCCATTCCGGAAAACAGGATGACAGAATAAGGACCCAAGAGTAAAAAACTTTCAATTACAATGATAAGATGGAATTTTTACAATTTATGAATTCATGTTGTGATGGCCACAAAGCATGACATAATGCCCATGAGATGTCTCCTTCCACCACCCTACAACAATTACTGTGTTTGGAGTTAAGATTGGTAAGAGTAGGCATGCATGTGTGAGAACTAAGCCAGGTGACCAAAGGATGGAAATTGCTCATGTATTTTGTCCATAAAAGAGCATCAAGTATCAACTACAGCTTCAACCTTAACTGACTTGTTTAAATCCTTATGATCAGTCTCCTTGTTAATCACATGATGAGAATTATCCCAGCACTGTCAGTAAAGACAATGACAAACAGCCACATCCGTAAGAATAGAAAGTTAATTTAATTTGTTAGCCAGATAGAAACTTAACAGTCCCAGAAAAATTTAGCTGTCATACAATAATATTATACATTACATACCCATAATAAAGCCAGCGAGTGGAATGTTTACCACCGGTGACCCCAATTGAATTTGAGACAACAGCTTATCCATATTCGTGTTTCTTTCAAGCATCACAAAGTAAACTGCAACAACCTGCAAAAGGATGTGTAACAATAACAATATATAAATGTTGACCATAAAGACAGTTGGAATAAAACACCCATGTGACAGAATGCCGAGACTACAAAACTTACACTGCAATGGAACCTTCTTGGCTGGCCCGTATCACACTGGATCAGGTCAGATATTAAACAAGATGCAATAGTTTCCTCAGGAATAGGAAAAAGTGATTTCACAGATGAAGGGGTTTCTCTCACAGAGTTGATAGTGATGAATGATACTGGAGTCAACGTAAAACAATTCGGCCCTCTGAAAGACAGAACATATCATTAAAACATGAACCCCACATAAAACTCACAACAGGGGTTTGGGGAGCCCTAAATGTATGCAGTGTTAAGCCTAATTAGTCACAAAATAAATAGATGTTAGAGAGTATTCTTCCAAATGCATCACAGAAAATTTTCAAAGGATAATTTGAAATAAGAAATGATGTGATTTTCAGCTATATAATCAACTATTTATCTTTTTGCAGTTCAGAATAAAGGAATTGGAAAAAATACTGAAAGGAATGGAACTAGACAATATTAGCAGTAATCATCATTACTTTTGAAGCAATTATCAAGAAAATGGAAAGATACGTAATAACTTCCTCCGTCTCACTTTGCTAGGCCACATTTCTAATTTGTGATGGGTCACTTTTTATATCTACCAAGTCAAATTATAAATTTTACTTACTACTCTTACTAATTTTAGGATTTGTTGCATAGTATTACAACAAAATGTTGGTTCTAAACAATTGTATAAATTATCGAGGGTAATTATAGTATTTCGAGTTGTTTCCTTCTGAATGACCTATTAACTAAATGTGACTTATTAATGTAGGGCAGAGAGATAAAAATAACTACTATACTGTTAAGTAAATGTGACTAATTCGATTTCTTAATTTTATCTCAGCTGAGTTGGGCATCTAACAATGAATTACCATCCCTTTTTATTATAAATTATCTCCAACCTCCAATACCCTATAAGGAACAGCCAGTCAGCCCAGATTTTAAATCAAGAGAAAGATCATCAATTTTTTTTATACTAGGTCTTATTGAAGGTTCTCAACACCTTTTCAGGCTGTCTCCTCAATCTTCTCCTCCAACAAAGCTCTGGCAAACTTCATCTCTTTTATTATTTTATAAGCAGAATTTCTACAATTATATTTCCCAAAAACATTTACTGTGATACCATTAAATTAACATAGCTTAGACACCATTAATGACAAAAATACGAAGTAAGAGAAGAATATGATGATTTGATCAATAAGCTGGAATTATAACAATGATAAAGGATATTCAAGCTTTTGAGATGCTTGATTGTTGATTCTGTCCTAATTACCAACCTAATATATTAAACAAGATTCTTATCAATATTCCAATGTAACTCCCTGCTGGGAATCAGTTTAACAATGTAGGCTGGAGACTAAGCTAACAATGGCAGCCTTAGCACGTTGTATTACTCAACAAGGAAAAACAGTAATACACCTTCTTTCGAGAGGAAGGAGCTCTCCCAACTACAGACTTCTGTAATTAATTATTTTCTGATATCTCATTACAAAAACAAACCTCCTATTAATACCCCCAATTAACAGCCTATCCCAAGCTAAGGCATGCCAGCACCATAACAAACAAATAACAAACTGATAACAAACTGTTACAGCAAATTATTATTATACCCTTCTACCCCAAAATTGGTTATAACAAAAATCCAGCTCAGCAAGCCTATAACAGATTCTTCTTGGGTCTTCTAGAGTATGTAAAACGGAAATTGGGCTCGGGCTGGTTCCTAGCAATACCTCCCACCCAAGCTTGCACCTTGTCCTCGAGGTGGAAATCAGGAAACCTGAGATTAACTTCATCAAAAAATTCCCAAGTTGCTTCAAAGGCTTGCAAACCCGTCCAGTGAATCAAAACTTCCATAGAGGCTTGAGAATTCCTCACACCCAACACTTCCCATGGTTCAACCTCCAAAATTAAGTCCGCAGTCAGCTGTGCAGGAAGGGTAGTGGGACGGTGACCAGTACCTAAGGCTTTTTTAAGCTGTGAAATATGAAAAACAGGGTGGATCTTCGTACCAGGGGAAGCTGCAGCTTATAGGCCACCTTACCAATCTTCTGGAGCACTTGGTAAGGGCCATAGAAACGAGGAGAGAGCTTATCATTTGATCTTCGTACCAGGGATCTTTGCCGGTAAGGCTGTAATTTCAGATATACCAGGTCACCCTCCTGAAATTCCCCATCACGCCTTCCCTTGTTCTCATAAGCTTGCATATAAACTTGAGCTTGAGTTAGGTGAAATTTCAGATCATCGAGTATAGCATCACGCTCTAGTAACTGTGCCTCTACTGAAGCCACAGAGGTACTGCCAGAAGCAAATCTCACCAATTGAGGGGGGTCCCGTCCATAGAGAGCCTTGAAAGGGGTGTAATTAGTGGCCGTGTGGAATGATGTATTATACCAATATTCAGCCCAAGGTAACCATCGTGCCCATGTATGGGGTTTTCCATTCACAAAACACCTCAAATAAGATTCCACTCCTTTGTTCACAACCTCAGTTTGACCGTCTGTCTGAGGGTGATAAGCTGTACTGCGCATGAGTTGAGTGCCCTGTAACCTGAACAACTCCTTCCAGAAAACGCTAAGGAACACCTTATCTCGGTCCGAAACAATTGAACTGGGAAACCCATGTAGCTTAACAATTTCTGCCATGAAGATATATGCCACACTTTGAGCAGTAAAAGGGTGCTTGAGAGGAATAAAGTGGCCGTACTTGGATAATCGATCTACTACCACAAGTATGGTGTCCCAACCCGAAGATTTCGGTAACCCTTCTACAAAATCCATGGATATATCCTCCCAAACTCTTTCCGGGATTGGCAAAGGTTGGAGAAGACCCAAGGGAGATAATGTCGAGTGCTTGTTCTGTTGGCAAATATGGCAGTGTTGAACGTACTGTGTCACGTCTTTGCGCATCCCAAACCAGAACCATTCTCCTGCTAGACGTTGATAAGTTTTTAGATCACCAGCGTGCCCACCTACTGCGGAGTCATGGTACTCCCTCAGCAGCTTGGACGTGAGCTCACATCGCTTCGGGATCACTATCCTGCCTTTGTACTTTAAGATCTCGTTTTCCAGAGAAAACCACTTGGGGGCTGCCTCCCCATTCTTAATCTGAGAAATTATGCGTTGTAGAGCTTCATCCTTGTCAATGAAAGCCCGTACATAATCCCATCTCAGCCCACATGAAGAGACCATGGTTCCACACTCAAATTCGGGATTGTGTTGGCGGGAAAGAGCATCTGCTACTTTGTTAGTAACTCCTGGTTTATAGTGAATATCGAAAGTATATCCCAGTAATTTTCTTATCCATTTCTGATATGCCTGACCCACCTCCCTTTGCTCCAACAAGTACTTCAGGCTTCGCTGGTCTGTACGCTGAAATGTCGGCCCAACAAATAATGCCTCCATTTCTCAACAGCAAACACAATTGCCATCAGCTCTTTCTCATATATGGGCTTTTCTCTATTTCTGCTCCCCAAAACCTTGCTGTAATAAGCAATAGGGTGCTCTGCTTGTAGCAGGACAGCCCCTAAGCCATGCCCCAAAGCATCTGTTTCAATCACAAAGGCCATAGAAAAATTAGGTGCAGCTAAGATTGGAGCATTCACCATGGCAGCTTTTAAAGTATTGAAAGCTAAAGTGGCTTCCTCGGTCCACCCAAAGTTGTCCTTTCGCAGCTGCTCAGTCAAGGGAAGGGCAATGTTAGCATACCCTTTGATGAATTTGCGGTAGTACCCTGTGAGGCCTAAGAACCCCCTGAGTTGTTTTAGGTTCATGGGCGGTGGCCAATCTAGCATAGCCTGTATCTTGGAAGAATCAACTTCCACTCCTGCAGCCGAGATCACATGCCCCAAGTACGCTACTCTTTCTCTGCCAAATTCACATTTCTTGAAATTGGCGTACAGGCTATGGTCAGCCAAAGTTTGCAGTACTTGCTGTAAATGATTTTTATGTGAATCCACACAGGGGCTGTAAACCAAAATGTCATCGAAGAATACCAGAACAAACTTCCTTAAAAAAGGTCGGAACACTTCATTCATGAGAGACTGAAAAGTAGCAGGGGCGTTGGTCAGCCCGAACGGCATTACCAGAAATTCCTAATGTCCTTCGTGGGTTCGGAAAGCTGTTTTATGCACATCCTCAGGCTTCACCCGAATCTGATGGTACCCCGATTTGAGGTCTAGTTTTGAAAAGACTGCTGCTCCTCCCAGTTCATCCAACAGTTCATCAATGACGTTGTATCGGAAATTTGTCGGGGACCGTTTCTTTGTTAAGGGCCCTGTAATCAACACAAAAACGCCAGGATCCATCCTTCTTTTTAACCAAGAGAACCGGGCTGGAATACGGGCTTGTTGAGGTCTGAATTATCCCTGCGCTGAGCATGTCCGACACCAACCTCTCAATTTCATCTTTCTGGGTTTGAGGATACCGGTATGGCCTGACACTAACCGGATTGGCCCCACTCCGTAACACAATGGCATGCTCAATATGTCTCTGAGGTGGTAAACCAGCAGGCATATGAAAAACCTGCTGAAACTCCTGGATTAGAGGTCTAAAAACCTCCGGAATGTTCGGCTCCTTCTCCTCTGATTTTTCTGAGTGGTTCAATTCCAACAAGTAACCAAACCCTTCCTTCTGTAAATTTTTGAACATGGCCTTCAAAGAAATGCCAGTCCGCCCCAAATGTGGATCACCCTTCAAAGTGATGGTGCTTCCCTCCCACTGAAATTTCAGTGTCTGATTTTTCCAGTTCGTGGCAATTGTGCCTAACTTCTCTAACCATTGAATTCCCAAAATCATGTCTGAGTTACCCAGAGGGAGTATGAGGAAATCTTCAATGATTGAGATTCCCTGAATGTCGAGCAAAACCCCCTTACAAATCCCTTCTCCCTGCACCGCTTCTCCATTACCGAGAGTTACTCCAAAACTTCTGGTTTCTATGGGGTTTAGACCTAATTTTTGAGCTGCTTCACTAGACACAAAATTATGAGTAGCCCCGGGGTCAATCATCACAACCACGGGGTTCTCATTTACTACTCCTACCATACGCATTGTTTTAGGATTAGTTAAACCCATAACAGAACTTAAAGATACCTCAGGTGAGATAACTGGACCTGGAGAAAGTGGCTCGAGTACATCGGTTTTCGCCTCAACCATAGATAGCTCACGTTGTCATCTTCATCCAGCTCTTCTTCCATGAGCATCACACTCAACCCCCTTCGGCTACAACGGTGGTTTAGGTTCCATTTCTCGTCACAACGGAAACATAGGCCTTGTTCCCGTTTTTGTTGCAGCTCCTTCTCCGTCAACCGCCTTATTTCGCCGGTGGGTTTGGTATTGTTAGGGAATGGTCGAGCTGGGGGAAGATATTTATGGGTAGTGTTTGTGTTTGTGGAGTTTTGGTTAGGGTTCTGGATATTTGAGTGGCTGGACAGAAAGTTGGTGTTTAGGTTTGGGTTATTTTTAACAGATGGGCTTGGGGTTCTCCAGGAAGGTAGGCTGCCAAAGGACTTGGGCTTTGGGCTGATTTTCAACTTCTCCTCAACCCTCATAGATAACTCCATAGCATGGTCCAACGAAACCGGATCTAATAAACGGACCTCCACCCTTATTTCATCCTTGAGACCATTCAAATACTGGCTCTTAGCTATTTCTTCAGGAACATCATCAATGGGGGTTAGGAGCTCAATAAACCGCCTCCGGTAGTCGACCACGGTGCCGGACTGGTAGTGGGCCAGCCACTGCTCGTGCAACGAGCCCGTTGCGGTGGTTCTGAAACGGCGTAGGATTATTCTTTTCAGCGCATCCCACGACCGCAAGGGTTGCCGCCGATTCTCCCATTGATACCAGAGGAGTGCGTCGCCGTCCAACGCCACCACGGCCGCCTCTAGCTTGTCTTCTTCAGAGAGGCGGTAGAAGTGGAAGAATCGCTCAGCACGAAGGATCCAACCATCTGGATTCGTTCCATCAAAAACCGGTAAGTCCAGTTTCCTCAATTTCCAGTTCACATGACCCCCGTGAAATCCTTCCTCCGGTTGCGGTTGTGGATGCGAAGAAAACGGGTTGTCCCAATTATCGGGGGTTCCGTTTTCTTGAGAAGATCGGAGCTCCGATCGGAGTCTCTCCTGTCCTGCTGTAATTTGGTTCGCGATTTCAGCTTTGAGAGTGTCCATCGCGGTGGAGATCTCTCGGGCCACGCGCGCAGGTAACCCAGCAATTTCTTGTTCCAGGAGATCCAAGCGTTGACCGTGGTTCAAGCGAGCCATCACTGTCCCTGCCTAGATCGTTACGGCTCTGATACCAAATTTGCTGGGAATCAGTGTAACAATGTAGGCTGGAGACTAAGCTAACAATGGCAGCCTTAGCACGTTGTATTACTCAACAAGGAAAAACAGTAATACACCTTCTTTCGAGAGGAAGGAGCTCTCACAACTACAGACTTCTGTAATTAATTATTTTCTAATATCTCATTACAAAAACAAACCTCCTATTAATACCCCCAATTAACAGCCTATCCCAAGCTAAGGCATGCCAGCACCATAACAAACTAATAACAAACTGATAACAAACTGTTACAGCAAATTATTATTATACCCTTCTACCCCAAAATTGGTTATAACAAACATCCAGCTCAGCAAGCCTATAAAAGATTCTTCTTGGGTCTTCTAGAGTATGTAAAACGGAAATTGGGCTCGGGCTGGTTCCTAGCACTCCCCTCTTTCTCCAATTAGCTCTATATATATAGAGCTCTTCCTCTAACTGACTAGCTTATTATCCAAGACATGTAATCATAATACAACTACCTCTTCGTCTAGCATAAATTCATAGCATAAACAAGAATCAAAGAAAATGAGATCAATACCAGAACTGAACTACAACAAAATACAAAATCTTTAATAGAGTTAAATAACATGAGGCATTTATACTTTGAACTTTTGAGAGGAACAATTGGCAATAAATCCCTTTTAAAGCATTCAAAATAAACTTGGAACTTTATCCTAGAAGCAAAAAGTAAGAAAAAACAAAATCAAATACGAAGTATGTAGAATGCTAAAGTAAGTGAACAATAAATAACCAACAATGGGTGGGCTAGGCTCACTCAATATATAATACCAGTATTATAAATTAGTCAACCGAAAGAAGTTTCCATAAAATCAATACATTGAACTTGATCTTATAGTAAGTTTTTCCTGCTACACAAAAGAGTCACCTTTGTCAAGAAAACCATTTAATATATCATAAATATAGCTTAAGGTTGTAAAAAGGATGTATAGAGCATTTTTGCAAAATTTAATATTTATATTTCTTGAAAGAGGGGAGAATGAGTTAGCCCTATCTTGTAATAACATTCTTTATAATAAAATGAATTCTTATTACTTCCCTTCAAGATTTATCAAATTAATAAATAAAAACACACAGGAAGTACAATATAGGAATCTTGTCTGCTAAAAACTTTATACCTAAGTGCAAGTATCCTGTGAAATGTAACAGCTGCACCTGGCCCCAATCCAACAGGATAGTCAAGCTTACTAAGGCAACCACAAATCTGCAGCTGGTATTAGCATAAACTGTAATTAGCTAACTGCATTATTAAAGCAAGGTGATAAACATAGCAGCCATCATAAATCAACAACATTTTGTAGAGTTATAAAACTTTCTTAAAAGCTTGGGTGTTAGGACAAAAATAAGATAAGTGTGAGTTTCACAAGATTGACAGATTCCTTGCCTATGAAGAAAGCATAAGCTTATTAAACTATGATTGTTCATAAATAAATTACAGCCAAAATAAAATCATCTAACTCTTGCATATGCATGTGCAGCCCAAAATTTTATAGTTACCAGCTATATTGTAACTAGAAAAATGAATGCTTGGTATAATGTGAAATCATTTCAATAAAAGGGAGGAGAACTGTGCGTTTTAAAACATGAAATAAATAAAAGATTAAAATGAGATTACCGAATTATTGTCAGCTGAACAAGTATTTGATCCAATCATGTAAACAAGCTTACTGCTGCAATGAAACAACTCAAGTTCTAGTTTGCTTTCAAATTGTAGTATGACAACTTCAGCTCAACTACAATACAAAACTTAGTGCTGCAGCAAAATGACATAATGGATCTTAGATCACCACCAAGCCATTCCAATTTTGATCAAATGTAGAGATGAAGCAATAGTGGCTTAAGATTTTAGGGTTGAGGAAAGTAATATGAGTGGTTATTACTTAATGCTTATGCTAAGTAAATGGTTCAAAATAAAAATATCCTATGCGTTTGCTATGCATGAATTTGTATTGAAACAAGAATGAAGTTTTTTTTCTTTCGGCTTAGATACATCCTAGTTAAGCTGGTACATGAGTTTTAAAATACTTAAGATTTTTTAGTATCCTCACAACAATGAAGGGGAAGTTTCACAAAAAAAGAATAGGTGTATTATACTAGTTGCACTTTGAGGTTTGAATCCTGTTGATTCTTCAAGATTAAGTGGCCTTAGGGTCTGAAAAATCAGGCTAGTAACTTATTATTTAAAGGCTAAGTTCTAATGTGTCAAATATAGTTTCAAGTTCATTTCCTTTTCCTGTCAGCATATTAAAATAACTCTTTTGTTATCACTTGGTAATAGAGCAGTATTCTTGGGTACAGAAGGCACAGAGCAGTCAGCTTTCAATCAGATCAAAGCTGGTTAAGGATCAAGACATAATAATAATTACCATGTGACAATCCGTCAAGACAAGCAGGTTGATTGAGCATTCCTTTCCTATGCTGGATTTCGGCAGATGAATGTTATGAGCAGCTCTATTGCACGGGATTCTATCAATAGAATAGCCATCAGAATTGTAAAGTCTGGCTACAATTCCTTGCAGAGAGATTAATTTTCCTTCGGGAAGACCAATGCCAGAATAAATTCCTTGGTTCTCAAAAAGGCCTGTCATAATGTTCCCGCAGCCAACTTCTTGTTGAATATTAAAGATATTTGTTGGTTTCAGTGACAAGTTTAAGACAAGCTTCTTCAAGCTCTGAAACCCAATATCCACATCTGAGAGATCAGTTGCATCTACTGCCACATGTAGATCAACATCAGTGAAAGATCCATGATCAGCAATGCTACAAGGGTTGAGCACAAGCTCATTTTGATGGCAGAACCTGTTTAAGTTCTTCCTAGTAGAATGAGAAGCATATGAGAGATCGTTGCATGAGACAGAGGAACAGTCCATGGCTTCACCAAATTGAAATGAAAGGCTCCAGAATTTTGTATCTGAGGTGATGAACATGCTACTTCCCATGTGGTGAGAATCACACAAGCACTTCTCAGCACAATGCTTCATGATGTAAATACCACCAATTTGCATGAACTAAAATCATTGCAAAGTTAAGTATCAGAAATAATTTCTCATTTTAAAAATAGATTAGAAATTGGAACACATTTCAAAAGAAATGAGGATTGACCTTATACTTGGAGAAGTTTTCAGAATTGAACTCTAGAACTTTTCTTGAACAAAGCATGTCAGTGATGTCACAGTTACCATCAACAAAACACAGAGCTGCAGGTACATCCATGACTTGACCATGTATTTCTCTACCAGTTACCTTACAAGGAAATTGAATGGAAGATGCACCTCTAAATCTGTTGGTAATCCTTGTCTTGTGTGGCAAGGAAAGCAGATTGTTTGGTTGGTCACATGATCTGTTTTCAAATTCTTCAAAATTGTTGCATAATCCAACTTTGTCAATGCAACTTGATGTTAGATGAGTTTTACATCTCTTAAAAGAAAACGCATCGTGGCAGCCAATTACAAGATCATCTTGTGGCATTTTTGTCTGAAAAACTGCACCATTACTCACACCAATACTCAGATCCCATGGCAAGACCATGACCTCAGCAAATAAACGGCTTTTGCCAGATACGTCACCGTGAAACTGCAATCCAGTAACAAATTCATAGTACTATATTGCCAAGAATTCAAATGCTAATATAATAATCACAAAGGTTACATCGAAGGCAGCCATGAAGCTGTCTTCACAGAAAAAAATCTAAACAAAAGTTGAACTGATTAAACTTGTTTGAGGAGATCATAGTGATGATACCATGACATACCCGTGATTGCAACGGGAATTTGTGGGTTAAATAGAGCAAGTGAAATGCTCCAGGATCAAGTTTTGCAGTGCTATTGATTGCACTCAAGCATGGATGAACGGTGAAATGCCTGTAGCTTACATTGCTCCAAGAAAAGTGCAAATATACTGTCAACTGCATTCGTCTTTCTACTGGGATGGTCTCAAACAAACTTCCGCATGAAAAAAAGTTGCTAAGAAGCATCCAAAATTGAGCCCACATTCCGGGCTTGCCTTCTAACACAAGATTATAGTCAAAAACCTGAAAGAAAAAAATGCAAGACACAATATGGTATTTCATGCAATATTACAAAAGGTGCAGATTTTATGACTGTCTAACCCCTTAATTTCTGAATAAATGCATTACTTGTTTTTACACAAAGTTTTAGGACAGCTGACGTGCAGGATTTGAAAAGTAGCATTAATGTAAAAGTGGGGTAAGTTGGGTATGCAAAGTAGTATTATATTGTATGAGTTAGGGTCACACATATAGAAGTGATGCATTTATTCAGAAACAGAGGGAGTGAAAACAAAAGCATAAACAAAGTTGTAAGGTTCATGTGCTCAGTCACAAACTGTAACGACTGCTACTGCTGGGAAGAGCAAGTATAAAGATTGGATCACCTATGAGCGCAGAGGAAAGAAAGGGCAGCCAAAAGCGCAGCAGGGAAGGCCACCCAATCAGTGCACCAATCAATGAGCAGCTCATGATTAGTAGCAGCATCCTCTGTGGGTGTGACAGCTGCAATCTTATTTTGTCTCTTTTATTCTTGGCTTGTTCTGTAAATATAAGAAAGGGGGAGAGGGAGTGTGTTGGGTAGTCAGTCGTTTTGTAATCCCTAGAGTTAGGAGAGTTGTACCCTAAAGGTACTCAATAGAGAGTAGTGGCCTCAAGCCACCCTTTTGTCCAAGCTTCCATTTTTGAATCATTTAATCAACAGCCTTCTTCCGTAAAAATGGCATCTTTATTGCTTTCTTATTGTCGTTTTACAATCACAGTAAGGTAGTGTGTTACAATTGGTATTAGAGTGGCGGTTCTGCGACCACCGGAGCCGGAAACCACCACGCTCCATCAGTTTTATTTAATTAAAAAATAAAAAAAAATAAAAATTGGTTATTTCTGCAACTCAGAGATGTGATACCTTGGAAGAACAGATGGCCGGAGTGCAAACTCGGTTGGAGACGTTGGAGGCTGCAATGAGAACTCAGGAGGAGTCCATTAAGAAGACCGTGGAAGAGGCCAATCAACGGCTCGATGGCCGCTTTGAGTTGTTCAGGCAACAACAGGAAGCTCAGATGATGGTCAATACCACCACTCAAACCCAGTGTTTTGAGGAGCTGCGAACTTTGGTGAACCAGAGAAACCAAGAGAACGCTCAACCCTTCAACTAAGGGATGCGCAACTGGAAAGGAGGAGAGCAATGCTGGAAGCCGAGGAAGTTGGATATGCCCGTTTTTGAAGGGATAGACCCAGATGGGTGGATACTAAAAGGGGAAAAGTATTTCCACCATTACCGGCTCACGGAGGAACAAAGATTACAGACCGTCGTTTCCACCTTGGAAGGAGATGCTTTACGATGGTTTCAATGGGAGAATCGGAGGAGACCCATACCAAATTAGGAGAGCCTGAAGAGCCGTGTTTTACACCGGTTCCGGAAACTCACGTGGGTAGTCTCCACGAACAGTGGTTGGCGGCGAGTCAGGAGACCACTGTCATGGAGTACTGAAAGAAATTCATTGAATTGTTTAATGAACCCCTTTAATCTGGAGCAAGCTATGGAAATAGCGGGACGGGTCGAAGAAAGGAATCGAGTAGGCGGGCTCAAGAAGGGACCCGGATATTTTGGGTCGAGTAGACCCGTGGCCAGCAATAGTGGGTCGAAGGCTTCGAGTGGGCCAGGCCTCATAAGCTCCTATGGGACTCCGCCAACAAGCCACCACTTTCAAGGGCTGGCCTAAGGCTCCATCAGAGTCAGTCAACTTTCCAAGAACGACCAGCTCGTCTTCTGCCAAATCCGGTGAACCACGGCGGTTTGACCGATGCCGAACATCAAGAGCGGAAGGCAAAGGGCCTTTGCTTTCGTTGCGATGAGCGCTGAAGCGTCGGCCACCGGTGTAAAAATCGCGAGATGAGTGTTCTGCTTCTTGGCGGAGCAGAGGACGACGAGGCCAGGCCGTCAAAACCAACCGACGGTGACACCACCGACGACGAACTCACGCCAAGTGGTAGGTATCTCTAACCATAGAACAATGAAACTCGAAGGAAAGGTGGGACCGAAGCCGGTGGTGATTCTCGTAAATCCGGGGGCCACCCACAACTTCATTTCCGATTGTCTGGTGGCGGAGGTGGGAATACCGGTGGCGGGGACGCGTGAATTTGGGGTTTCGCTTGGAAATGGCGATATTATTTAGGGAAAAGGAAGGTGTCGGGGAGTGAGGGTCGTGATAAATGGCGGCTTCGTGGTGGTCGAAAACTTTTTGCCGTTGCAATTGGGTAATGCGGACCTGATTCTGGGAATTGAAAGGTTGGAGAAGCTTGGGCCGATGGTCCACAATTAGAAGACCCACCTCATGAGTTTCATGGTGGGAGATGAGAAGGTGACTTTAAAGGGAAACCCAACCTTGACTCGGACCCGAGTCACATTCAAGGCTATGCTCAGGACCTTGCGCCATGAACGGGGAAACTTATGGGTGGAAGTTAACCGCGCTGAGGCGGCAGAACAAGAGACAGCACAGGGTGCCTGGGTGGTTGGCAGGGACCTTAGAACAGTTTCAAGGGGTTTTCGCATCTCCCAAAGGGCTACCACCCAAACGGGGGCACGAGCATGCTATCGTGTTGAAGGAGGGCAGCAACCCGGTGAGCGTAAGGCCGTACCGGTACCCACAATTTCAGAAAGATGAACAGTTAATTAAACGAGATGCTAGAGGCAGGGAAAATCAAACTTTCAGCCTATTTTCGAGCCCGGTTTCGTTGGTTAAAAAGGACGGTTCATGGCGGTTTTGTGTGGATTACCGTGCCTTGAACCGAGAAACAATTCCCGACAAATACCCCATTTCCATAATAGATGAGCTACTTGATGAGCTCCATGGGGCGGCGATGTTCTCGAGACTTGACCTTAAATCGGGTCATTACGAGGGGCATTACGAGTTCTTAGTAATGCCTTTCGAACCAACAAATGCGCCGGCCACCTTCCAAGCACTCATGAACGAGGTGTTTAGGCCGTACTTGCGAAAATTTGTGCTTGTGTTTTTTGATGACATCCTAATCTATAGCTCGAATAAGGAGATTCACTTGGAGCATATGAAAGTGGTGCTGTCCAAATTAGAGGAGCATAGTTTGGTAGCCAACTTCAAGAAGTGCGAGTTCGGTCAAGCCAAGGTCGCCTATTTGGGACATAAGTCTAAGGATGGGGTGGCTGTCGACTTAGAGAAGGTGAGGGCTATGGTAGAGTGGCCAATTCCACAAGGAGTTGCGCGGGTTCCTAGAATTAACCGGTAATTACCGGAAATTCATAAGAGGATACGCACAGATAGCTAGGCCCTTGACAGAGCAGCTACGAAAAGACAATTTTAGGTGGTCGATAGAGGCCACGACAGCATTTGAGTGGCTGAAATCAGCCATGAATTCGGCCCCTGTTCTGACCATGCCGGACTTCAGCAAGCAATTTGTGATTGAAGCAGACGCTTCAAGCTTCGGGCTAGGAGTTGTCCTAATGCAAGGCTTTCTACAGCATATTATTAGGCCCAAGATCCCAAGCTAAGGCCATTTACGAGAAGGAACTAATGGCAATTTGTTTGGCCATGGTCAAGTGGCGGCATTACTTGCTTGGGCGTCATTTTGTGGTGAGAACCGATCAACAAAGTCTGAAATATATTATGGAGCAAAGGGAAGTGAGTGGGGAGTATCAAAAGTGGGTTCGGAAGCTATTGGGATTTGACTTTGAGATCCAATTTAAACCCGAGGCTAGCAACCGAGTCGCGGATGCCTTGTCTAGGAGGGGTGAGGTAGTTGGAGAGTTGGCAATAATGGTTTCAAAATCAGGAATTAATTAGGATGAATTGGGGAAGGAAGTGAAGGCCGACAAGGACCTTAGCCGAATAGCAGCAGACCTCCAGCGGGATCAGGGACTCATGTGGGCTTCACACTCGAAGGGGAGATATTATTATTCAAGGGGAGGGTAGTAGTTCCTAAAGGGTCAACCTTAATTCCCAAACTCTTGACCGAGTATCATGATAGTCCGGTTGGAGGACACCAAGGAGAAACCAAGACATACTTGAGGATTGCCGCGGAGTGGTATTGGTCGGGAATGTGGAAGGAAATAGGGGTGTATGTGAGGCAATGCGCGGTATGCCAGCAAGCTAAACACTCGCAATTACATCCATCGGGGTTGCTACACCCCTTGCCCATTCCCGAAGCCATTTGGGAAGACATTTCGATGGATTTTGTGGAGGGACTTCCACTCTCAAAGGGGATAGACTCGGTGTTGGTGGTAGTGGACAGATTAACTAAGTACGTGCATTTTATTGGGTTGAAGCACCCATATGGTGCCTTAATAGTGGCCGAGGTGTTCTCTAAGGAGGTCGTAAGGCTTCATGGGATGCCGGCTTCGATTGTGTCGGATAGAGATCGTATTTTCATGAGTGTATTTTGGAAGGAATTATTTAGGCTACAAGGGATAGACCTCAAGAGAAGCAACTCATATCACCCTCAAACCAACGGCCAAACAGAGATCGTCAACAAAACTTTGGAAACATACTTGTGTTGTTTTGTGAATGGTAAGCCCAAATCGTAGGGAAAGTGGCTGCATTGGGCAGAGTATGCATATAATACCTCCTATCATGCATCTACTGGGTTCACACCTTTCCAAGTTGTATAAGATTAAGGTGGGTAGTGGGCAGACTCTAGTTGATAGGTTAGAGGAATGGCTTCAAGAGAGAGATTGGGTGTTAGAGGACTTACACATAAATCTGATTCGGGCTCAACAAAGAATGAAATTTCACACGGATAGGCGAAGGAGGGAAGAGGAATTTCAGGTTGGAGACTTGGTCTATTTGAAATTGCAACCATATCGGCAAAAATCCCTTGCAAAGTGGCCAAATGAGAAGCTAGCACCTCGCTTCTATGGTCCCTTCAAGGTGGTTCAACGTATTGGAAAAGTAGCATACAAGTTAGAGCTACCTGACACGTGCAGAGTTCACCCCGTGTTCCATGTCTCTCAGCTCAAATGCGCACTAGGTGATCACTTGGCAAGCCCTACCATGACCTCAGCAGCTGACTGAGGAGCTGGAACTTAAAGCTGGGCCAGAGAGCTTGCTGGACATCAGGACTGCAAGAGTAACCCCAGGATTCGAGAGGTGTTAATTAAGTGGCAAGGGCTGTCCTTAATTAAAGCCACTTGGGAGGAAGCAACAACAATTCAAGAGAGGTTCCCATCATTTCACCTTGAGAACAAGGTGACTCTTGAAGAGGGGGTCAGGGGGGAGATGTAACGACTGCTACTGCTGGGAAGAGCAAGTATAAAGATTGGATCACCTATGAGCGCAGAGGAAAGAAACGGCAGCCAAAAGCGCAGCAGGGAAGGCCACCCAATCAGTGCACCAATCAATGAGCAGCTCATGATTAGTAGCAGCATCCCCTGTGGGTGTGACAGCTGCAATCTTATTTTAACTCTTTTATTCTTGACTTGTTCTGTAAATATAAGAAAGAGGGAGAGGGAGTGTGTTGGGTAGGCAGTCATTTTGTAATCCCTAGAGTTAGTAGAGTTGTACCCTAAAGGTACTCAATAGAGAGTAGTGGCCTCAAGCCACCCTTTTGTCCAAGCTTCCATTTTTGAATCAATTAATCAACAGCCTTCTTCCCTAAAAATGGCATCTTTATTGCTTTCTTATTGCCGTTTTACAATCACAGTAAGGTAGTGTGTTACACAAACTCTGCAAAGGATCAACAAAAGGTCCCACCTCAACTTATTCTCTCTAAGACAAGCTTTTGTAAAAGAAATGAAACATTATGAAAAAAAAATTCACGAGATTATAAACTATCACCTCATAGATAGCATTAATGTCCCAGGCTGATGGAATGTCTGGTATAACAGCATCAACACTAGCTGTGCCATCAATATATTGCAATCTTCCAGTAGCTGGACAAATCTAAATATAGCACAGCCAGCCATTAGAAGGGCAATGGATATTAAACCAATGTGAACTGAGTTATAGTATATAATAACAAATATCACTTTTTTAGGTGACATAAAAAATAAATAAAAAAAAATAGAAGACAACAATGTAATCATCAAAAATTGTCCAAATTGAAAAAAAAAATAATAAAAAAAAATATATATAAAAAAATAATAAAAAAAATATATATATATATATATATATATATATATATATATATTTATAGAAATCGTTAATAAACAAGCTTGAACATGAACACAAGATTACATTTTTTTATCCGAAAAACATAAGGTGTTTAATAACTCGGCTTGTTATAAATAATGCAAGCTCAAACATATTTATGAGCTTTATCAAAAGCTTAATCTTGTCAAGATAACTGAGCTTGCTCTGTTAAACATGAGCAAGTTAATACTCAGGTCGACTTGGCACAACCCCTACCTAAAAGCAAGTTTATCACCTTCATGCAGCACTGTATGCAGTAGGAACACCCCTACCAGCAGTCTTAAGTGGGGCTTATTGAACCCCAAATAGATGCAACTGAATAAGAACTACTCATAAGCTTCTGCATAGTTTTTGTAGTCACTAGACTTTAGCATTAACCAGTAAAACCTATCTATTCTACAGAATAAGTGTATATAAACAACTTATTTTTGTACAACAAAAAAATTTGCTAGAAAATAGATGGATCATAGTACTAACCTTCAAGTTCCCTAGTAAAGAAACTCCAATGTCTTTACTAGGTAAGATCCTCCTGATTAGTTGATCAGAAAGTCTTTTTTCCCTGAAAGGATGACCTACTTGGCTGCATTCTTCTAAGATTTTGATACCATTATTCATTTGCAGAAGTGATATTATAAACATCCTCTCACAGTTATTGACTAAATAGGAGAATGGCATGGCCTGCAAAAGAAGTAAGCACATCTCCTATCATTATTTATGGAAACAAGGGTTATCAAAGAAGTATCAATGAAATACACTCGCATGATTATATAGTCCACCTCATAATTGAATAACCTAAAAGATCATATTTTACCCAGTGTTCAAAAAATTCAGAGAGCTAACCAAACTTAAGCTGCTGTAGTTGATGTTGCTACCAGAGCCACATGAATCATGCTTGCAGAACTCCGTGAAAGAACCATGCTGTCAAAACATAAATCACTTAATAAGATGACAAGGTCGAAAAAATAATCGCCAGAATCCCTCTTCATGTTCGAAATAAAGCTACCAAATTTACCCGTGACTGAAAAACGGATGATGGCAGCGTGGACCTGGCATAAGTTTGCACCAAACCTTCCTTCTGATGACACCACATAATATTTCCAAATAAGAATTAATTAAGCTGTAATAGACATCAATTGATAACAAATTTCAGCAAAATCACAAGATTCATACGAAGGAGATAAAGGAGGAATAAATTACATGCTTTGTTCCTAGAATCTCCTTTTCTGAAAAAGCTCCAGAAAACTTTTTTCTTAGACATTGGACCAAGAGTAATGTCCTGAAACCACAAAATAGGATTGCAAGTCAGCTATGAGTTGCCAGCGCTAAAAATAAATAAAAATAAAACATTGCTCCACAAATATTTTATCCTACCATAATCGAGCTGGAAAGACCAATGTCTCCATAAATTTTCCCAGAAGACTCTGAGACCGGTACACTGGCTGACACCTGCACCATCAAAGTGTCTTGTGTGACACATCAAAAACTCAACTATAGCCTAAAATCTAAAAGCAATGTGCATTAGACTTATACCCAATTTCCAATGGAGAGAAAGATATCGTCCTTATGTTGGTCTTGCAGCAAGCCCCAAGTATAAGCATTTTCCCCCAGGTAAACTTCGGGTTCACAATATGAACATTCCTCACAGATAGCTACAGCAAAGAAAAAATGGACAAATAACCTCAGTTCAGCATATCACAGCATAAATCAATCAAAATCCAATTCTGGGCTCGAAAAGAGAACTCACAATTGAGCCAACCCTGACACTATGAGGCAAAAGCAATGATTCGTCTGTAAGTAAGAGCCAAACATCTTCATCCAACTCAACAACCATGCCCTGCATATAAGTGCTTCTGACTACACCAATATACATACCTAATTCCCAATTTCCATTGATTCGAGCTTTATCATTTTGAAACGAATATCCTTCATTTTGTTGTAACTTGGGAACACTCAAACAAGTCATTTCAGTTGACACAAACATTAATCTAGTCTCTTCATTCTCTATGTACACCAACTTCTTTCGCAATCCCGACAATAGAAGTACACTTCCTACAAGCTTCAAAAACACAAAGTACGGAGACGAGCCAACCCCACAAAAGTACACATATTCAATTCTACTAAAACAATGTGAATCCCTTCTTAAACCTAAATCATCAGAAATCTTTACACAGTCTTTAAATTTGCATAACCTACAATCACAGCACAAAACCTCTAAAATAAAACCACGGCGATTCTCCGAAACACAAGGAATCAACGAAACAGGACTAACAGAACCCAATACACCATAAACACTATACTTACCCTTAGGATCACAATCATTCCCAACAACATCATTATCATCAAAAACCAAAGGAAAAAATTCAACATTACCAGAAACACAACATCCCACAAATTCCCATCTAATAATCTCCAAAAATCCACCACATTGCTTCAAAGGGATGAAATTCCAAGCGATAACACGAATTTCCCTCTTAATCATATTCAAATCGAACTCCAGAACGTCGCAGCAAAGCGAACCGGAATCGTCCGAGAAGGAGAAACAATGGTGAGGAGAATGACTAAAGAGTGGGAGACGGAGAATTCCGATTATGATTGAAGGTTGAGAGAGAGATTTGAGGATTTTGGCGCGAGAAGTAGTGCTAGGGTTTAGGGTTTTGGAGGAGTTGATGGAAGGTGGAGGAGTGGGCGGAGGAGGGGAGTAGAGGAGAGAGACGGCGCCGGAGATTGGGCGGCGGCGACGGAGAAGGTCGGAAATTGGAATTAGTTTAACGCCTTCCATTTTGAAGGTACTAATCGAATGTTCAAAGTGCTGCTGACATTCCTTTTATTCTTCCTGCTAAATCCGCTAAATCACTTGTGTCAGCAGAAAGGCGGGAAAGTAAAACAAGGTTTTTTGTTTTATGACTCTAACAGCACACGTTGGTATTTAAGATGATAGTAACAACAAATTATATCGATACCAACAAAATAATTTTATGTTCGTTGGTATCAATGAATAAGGTGATTGGTATCATGGTGATACTATTTAAAGTATAATGAAATATCAACATGTGTTATGACATTATTATTTTCAAGTGTGATAAAAGTGAATGAACGATTATACTCTTGTTAGAATCATAAATGACTTTAATAGTTAGAGTCTTAGAATTCCTCTTAAGGGGGTGTTTGGTTTACGGAATATAGGTATGAGATATGAGTTTAAAATGACTAAAATTCATATTATATGTTTGTTTGTTAAAAGTATGAATTTTAAATACATACCTCAAACCCATAAGATATGAAATTCAGAAACCTTTAGGGGAGGTGGATTTGGCTCATTTCATTCCCTTGGATATCAAATATATGGTATTAAGGGGATGAAACTCCATTCCATAATTGAACCAAACACATGGTATTAAGTGTCAAGTTCCAACTTGATACCACCTTAACCAATACCACTACATGAACCAAACGCCCTCTAGAAAATTATTATTTGATAAAATTAAAGTACTTAGGGTGATATTATAAATGACCTACATACCCTTGAAAATAATCTCTTCCCCCTAATTCAATCTACCTCATACATCTCCATCTCCTTCACACTGTTCACCAAGCCGCCATCACCCACAACATATTCACTACCTAAACGAAAACAACCTCTTCATGGAGGTAGCAGCCTACTACGCAACACCGATCGAGCTCCATCGACCAGGACGAGCGCACGCGAAATAGACGCCACCATCGTCATGCCTTGTTAAGGGAAGCAACTACGGGGGAAAAGTCGGCCACCGTGAGGTGAGTCTTTTCTTCTTTTTTTGTTGGTTATGAACGTTTGTCGGAGATGTCCTCAACGTGATGGAGACATCTGTCGGAGATGTTCCCTCCATGGTGGAGACATCAGTCGGAGGTGTCCCTACCACAACAGAGACATCTCCTTCAGATGTCTCCACAACGTGGGGGGAATCTGTTGTAGATGTTCTTCCATTGATAAGACATCTGTCGGAGATGTCCCTACCACGGTATAGACATCTCCTTCAGATGTCAACTGATATTTTTCTGTAAATTTTTTTCAATTTTTTTTTAAAAATATTTCAAAATTAATTAGTCAAAATTAATGTTTTGCATCTAATTTGATTTATCGTAATTAGTCAAAATTAATTAGACATATGCGGGAGATGTCCCAACCACAAAAGAGACATCTGTTGGAGATGTCCCAATCACGTAAGGGCATCTGTGGGAGATGTCCCTACCACGTAAGTGACATCTATGGGAGATGCCCCTACCACTAAGGGAAAACTCTCGAAGATGTCCCTTCCACGGATAAGACATTTGTATGAGACGTCCTTACCGTGATTAGTCAAAAAATGTGGTGGTGGTTGTGGTGGTGAAGATGGTCGGGTATTAGTGGTGGTGGCAGTGTAGGTGTTGTGGTGTGGCGGTCTAAATTTGTGGTTTGTAGGTAAGTATAGGTGAGGATGTAATAACATTTGAAAGTAAGGGTAACATGGTAATTAATAATGTCAGCTTGAGTATTTTTAATTCGTCAAATAGCAATTCAGTAATTTTATTGGTTTAAACATCCCTTTCCACCCCGCCGGACAATTTTTCACTCCCAATACATGCAGTCGATACTTCCCAATATACCAAAAAAATCTCTTTCTTCTCTTTCTCTTAGAATGCGATTGATATCTTCAAGGGATGGTTTCTTCAAGTACTCTGTTGAGAATTCACAAATCACTCCGTTAATGAAGTGTGTGATACAATGTTTAGTCGTAGTTGCCCCAAGCTTGAAGATCAGTTGTGCAGCCATAGGCTAATATCCTTATAGCCGTTGTGCACTTTTGTATTGTTGAAGCACCCAAACGCATACTAGCATTTGCATGTTGTTGGAAAATCGGCCAGTTTCACTTAGTTGATTCACATCTTAATAAATAGAGGTTTTTGCATGCGAAACCTACATCGAAACTTATCCTCACCATACTATGGTTGGTCGTTGAAATAGTCAGTAACCAACTGATCATGTGTTGCTTCACGATTATACGTGGTATAAATTCCCTTTGTTTTCTCTGACGTTGAACATCTTCTTGTTGTTGTTGCACAGTGGTATTAAGATTGTTAACCACATATATTAATGCATCTTTAATGATTTGTTGTTGTCGATTTCCCTTAATAAAATCAGGCAACATGTAGTCATAAATTTCATCACTAGAAGTTAAAAAAAAATGAATTTCTACCCATTTTAAAACTACTATAGTAAATATGTAGTTGTAGTTCTAACAGTGATAGTGTTTTAAGTAGAATAGGTCAATTTACAGACAATCGAAATAATAGTAAGTAAAATTGATTTGCAATATGGTCAAATAAGACGTTTTTAACAAAGGATAATAAGATTTTTTTAACACGAGATAAGATTTGTTGGATAAGAAAAGAATAATATTAGATAAGGTAAGATTTTTGGCAGCTTAGATAAGATTTTTTGGCAAATAAGATGAGATTTTTTAACAAAGGATAATAGTTTTAACGTAGGATTAGATTTTTGGTAGATAAAGTAAGATTTTGTTATAGATAAGAATATTTGACATAAAAGATTTTTCATATGACTAAACATATATAAGTAAGGCTAAACAAAAGTATCTGATAATCCGAAAATCCGAAAATCCAATCCGCACCCGATCCGAAAATTTTGGATATCGGATATCGAAATTTCGGATTTCGGATATCCAAAAAAAGTCGGATATCGGATCGGATATCCAATCCAAAATCTGAAAAAGAACACTTTTTTTTTTACCATTTCAAAATAATTCATATTATATTATACATACATTTAAATACCCTAAAGATAAAAACCCTAATTTTCATCTCTTTTCTCACTTTCTTAGATCCGCCTCTCTCTTCTCTCTTTTCTCCCTCCTTCCTTCTCACTTCTCAGATCAACCTGTAACTCTCTTCTCAAGTTCTCAGACCCGCCTCTCTTTTCTCCTTGTAACTCACAGCCTCACTCCTCCACCAACCAGCCGCGACTTCCCTCACTCCTGCACCAGCCAGCCGCACTTCCCTCACTCCTCCACCAGCCAGCCGTGACTTCTTTCACTCTGATCTAGGGCGAGACTAGGTCGTTGAAAACTAATCTACCCTTGGTCAAAACACAATTTATAATCTCTCAACACAGCCCTACACAAAGCATAGAGTAAGTCAAGGGTTGAACCACTAGGAATGGGAAATGAATGCTAAAGTCAAAGCTAAGCTATTTCAAAGCAATGAAATGAGGTGTGTCTATTCTACCAATCAAGCAATCGAAATGAAAATCAAACTTAACAAGCACTAGGGTATGGATCCACATATACTCGTAATTAACTCAACTAATTGGGATTGGAGATGACTAAGTCAAGCGTTGAGAAGGAAAATCGATTAAGCAATCAAGAGAATATGGTAGGCTAATCTCCTAGAGGTCAAACTAGCGCCAACTACGAGAGACTCTAGCTAGGAAACTTGCAAACCTACTCAATCGACAAATGTAAGTCACAAATCAATTTTCCGTATCAATGTGAACCTACAGTGCAATCTAGTATGAGAAACTTAGGATGATCACTCCTAAATTGAACACACACATGCACTTAATCAATCAACCAATTTAATCACAACATCAACTCCATCAATTTCCCCCAATTAGCATACATCAATTACTCATATTTCACCATTTCCCTAGCAAGAAAACTACTCACTAATCATGGAAATCATTATCAAAACTAAACTAAGCAACAAATTCATCATCATCATATTAATAAAAAATATACCAATTCAAAAATCAATCAATCTTGAACAATTAACAAAGAAATTGAGATCAAAACAAAGATTGCATTAAAGAAAGAAATCCTTACATACTTGCTTCAATTCAATGGAGAAAAACACTTAGATTCATCAATCTTCAATTGTCAATCAAGAAATTTTCTCTCTAAAAATCTAACCTAATTCTATTCTAAATTTCTGAAAAATTCAACTCTCCCTAAAAATAGAAAGAAAATCTATATATAGTAAAACTAACTAAGAGAAATTAGTTAGATTGTCCCCAAATAAACTCGAACAGGTGCGGCCAACTACAAGAGAGAGAGCGGCCGCGCAAAATTAGGTACGGAACAGGGACCTGAACAGGTGCGCCCGCGCCCGAGAGAAGCGCGCCCGCACCACCAAGCCGCGCGACCGCGCCATAGCTGCGCGCGCCCGCGCTTGGGAACAGGGCAACCATCTTCCCTATCATTCCGATGCTCCTCGTGCATTCCACTTAATGCTCTTGATAAACACGAAACCTTGTTGTTTCTAAACTCCATGTTTGCGGGTCCAAGACTAGAAATCATGCCCCCACGGCTTGAATGCACAGCTCAAGGTCTTTAGGAACTTGCACTTCTCCATGCTTGAGCTTCAAATGGAGACCACTAGGCATCCTAATCAATGCCAAACTTGGGAAGAGGCCTCGGGAAACTTGGATAACGGCCTTAAACTGAAAAATAAAGGAAAACAAGCAAATAAAAGAGAAAATAACAAAATAAACCAAGAAATGCATAAAGAAAGAAATCAAACTAAGAAAATGCAAACTAAAAGAAATAAAGAGTAAAGCTAAGTAAAAGAGCTAAAGAATAGCATAAAATTCATCCTAAAAAGAACCAAATGAGTGCCATAAATGACAACTCATCAAATTCCCCCAAGCTAAACTTTTGCTCGTCCTCGAGCAAAACAAAGCAAGAAAGAATAAGGATGTGTAATACCCGATATTTTAAAACCCGATTTATCATACTCTAATATTTATTGGAAAAATTGAAACTAATAATCCCACCTTTGTCTGCTCAAAACAATCCCACCTTTTTAATTATCTAGAAATAATCCCACCTTTGCCTCTTATTTGCTCAAAATGATCCTTTTTACTTATAACCTATTTAACAAGTTATTTTGTTTCTTTTTTATTTTTTGTTTTTATTTCTTAAATTTCACCTTCTACCTCCCAACCCATTCAATGGAGACCCACCACCACCACCACCAGACCTCCATAACCACCCCCACTAGACCTCACCCGAAATCCCAACCCTACCCTCTCACCTGACCCCCACAAAACCTCCTAAACCCAAACTACCAGCCTTGGCAGCCACCCCGAAACACCTTGAAACCGACCACCCAAACCCCACTAAACCCAACCACCGCTACTCCAAAACCCCCTTAAATTAAACTCAGCTGCAACCTTCGTGAGTTCGTGATGTTCGTGGCACCGGAAAATTGGATTAAAATGGGTTTTATAGTGCTGCGTTTTTGGCTCCATAAAATCACCCCAAAATTAAACTCCTGTGTGTATCTTCCTGGTTTTGTTGATTTTGATTAATTTAACGATTTTCCTAAGATTTTGCTTCGTATTTTGGGTTTAATCCATGTTCCTAAAATGAAAATTGGGTTAAAAATGACAAAACAAATTTCAGGTGGGGGTTATAATCGCTGGAGGTTTGAGAATTTTGGGGAAGAAGGGTGGTAAGACTGTAAGAGGAAGAAGAGGGGAGTTGGCATGGGGGGTTACGGAGTGGCTACTCCGGTTAGGGAAGGAGTAGGCATAGGGGTAGGGGGCTGTTTCAGGTGGGTGTTCGGGAAGGAGGACGGGGAATCGGGGAAGAAGGAGGCTGTTTTATTTTTTATTTTATTTTATTTTTATAAAAAAATTTATTATTAATTTTCTTTTATTTTAAAATTATTTTTAAAAAATCCAATTAGAAAGTGACACGTGGAAAGCCACCTTCTAAAACCAGTTACCAATTTTACAAACCGATCAAAGGACTGTTTTGAGAAAATGGGGGTAAAAGGTGGGATTATTTCCAGAATACGCAAAGGTGGGATTGTTTTGAGCAGAAATGGAAAAGGTGGGATTATTCGTTTCAATTTTTCCATATTTATTTTATTAGCTTAATTAAGGTTTTGTCTCTTTTTTAATAAGAACGAATGTTTTAGTCTTGAATTTTATTTTTCTTTTTAATATTATATTATTTCATAAGCTAATTTTACGAAGATCAGCAATTTATTATTTAAAGTTTATTTCTGATATGTAAAATGTTTAAAGATTTGCATCAAATTTTGTATTTTTACCCGAGGGAATAAAATGACCAAAATACCCTTATTCATACAAAAGGAAAAAATCCACCTCTTCCTTGTTCTTTCTTCACGGTTAAGCATTGGAAGTCAAAATTTGCTTCTTTCCCATTGGATGTTCAATTGTTTCACTTATCATCACAACAAAAGTCAGGTGATCAGCTTAATTTTGATACTTATCAAATTAATATAGTAATCTTGATCTTTACTCTTCCTTCTCTTATAAGTTTCTTCTACCAAGTTATTAGCACCCATAAGTTTGACTGCTAAAGAGATACCACTATTGCCGCAATCACTGTATCTTTTCCTTGCTCCAGGCCGTTGTTGCCATCCTTCTTCTTACCTTCGACCAAGCTCATGCACCGCAGCCACGCACTCTTCTTCTTCCTCCATTCGTGTCATATTTGGTGAAACCGAGAATAGTCATTGAGACTACTCTGTACACATGAAACCAAAGTGAGCTTATTTTGTTTGCTCTTATTTTGATTATAAGTTTATCCTTTATTTGAGATACAAACTCTCTACTTTCTTTGAAAACGATTATGTAGATATTTTGGTGATAAGAAAATGATGTTAAAATATAGTAGTAGCTTGCTATCTAAGTTCTATGTTTGTTCTTATTTTACTCTTAAAATTGTTTATGTTCTAATATTATTTTGCACAAGGAATTGATGATTATGTACTTCGTACATTCAACTTCCTAAAAATGAGCTTTGATACTAAGGAAATTTGAGAGTTCTCTTAATTAAAGTTTTTATAGTAATATTTTCCACTAATATGAATAGTGGTAGTATCTATTTTTAAAGTAATGTTCATTTTACTCAAAATGAGGTAATACTTGTTTTGTTCTCTATAAAAAAAAAAGAAGTTACGTAACACCTATTTCTAAAGATGAGTTTCATGTTGTTTTCATACTAAATTAATTAAAGAGTTTATAGTTTTAAATCATTTTCCCTACTAATGCAATAATGTATATTTTTAAGAGGAATCGAACCTCGGAGCTCAGTGAGAACGATAGAATAAAGGCTAATAGGAAGGTTATTAGGCTGTAAATCGAGGTAACGACTATTGCTAGTACCCGCAATTCCCTTCGAAATGTGTTTATAAAAGCATGATGTCACTTTTGAAAGTTATTTACATCTCTGGATTAATGACTTGCGGGATGATGAACGTGTTTATTAATGTATTTCAGTCTAATGATTTATGTGAATAATTTTATTAATATACGTTGTTTTATTGATCTTTGGATCTCACGAAAGTATGTTATGAGTTTATGAATGACCTATGTAAAAGGTACACAACATGATAAATAACAGTGAAAAACCTAGTCCATCTGGCAGTATATGTTTACAGGTTACTTCTCGGTCATGCATGTATCCATAGGGCATTAGCCCAACTATGTCGAGCATCTGCTCTATGTTATGGGCACCGACCCATCGCGGTAGACGTTCCGCCATATCATACTTGCCAGCGACTAGCATGTTAATATGAACGTTATATGTATCATTATATGAATTTTATTAAATGTTTTAAGATATTCCATTTCTCTGTTTTGTTAACTAAAATGAATTGAAATGATGTTACACTACTAGAGTAGTTCGTTACTGAGTCTTCGGCTCACCCGTTTTTATGTTTTAGGTAATGTTGGGGATGATGGAGACGAGTAGTAGCGAGGATTTTACTTTCAGTTATCACTTGATAGTAGTTATAGTTTTGAGTTGTTTAATTTGAATAGTAAGACTAAGCTACTCAGTAAAGTTTGAGATAAGATAGGATTTGCTATTATAAAAATTAAGAATAATGTTTTTAATAAATAGATTACTATGTTTTATAAATCAACTTTGTTAATTAAGTATGATTGTTGCCTTGTAAATCTCGTGAGGGATTTACGGCAGTGACGTCCCGACCGTGTTAGGTTAATTCCGCTGCTAAGATTCTCTTAATAACTGAATTAGAGGTCGGGTCGTTACAGGATGAAAGACTTATTCAAAAATAAAAAGAAAGACATAAGACGGGAATATACACTAAGACTCACTTTTGTAGGAATCACGGTTGTTTTTAGCTACAACAAGCCCTTTAAACCCCAAAATCGCCTACGAGGACGAGTGAGGTCTCGTAAAGGTTTCCTAAGAGCTTAACCTATAGCTCTCCACCAACATACATGAGGCAAACCACAAAAAGGAAAGTAAAAGAAAGAAAAACAAAATTGAAACCTTTACGAATTGGACTTTAAAAAATGACCACATTTCAAATGAATAAACATCTTTCTTAAGCAATAGAGGTATGCACGTTTCATGATATTCGAGGTTGATTGAAACATAGAGTATGTTAAGCATAGAGAACTAATTATCACAATTCACCTTCATCCCGTTCAATCTTACCGCGTTCTCCCTATAGTCACAAATCTCCCTCTAATGAGCATCTCAATAACTCCTCGAAGGAGCCGGAAAAGAAACACTTTTGGGCTACACGACGTCTTGACTATGCATCCCCTCTCTTTAGGCTTTAACTCATAATTCCCTCCCTCGAAATTTGACTCAACCTCTAGGTCGAAAGGTCTTTCCCATGGTTGTAACGTAAGGGCAAAAAGGGTTAGGGGTAGGCTAAAATTTTAAAATTTGGTGGTATCCCTAATAGTGAAGCAAAGAACGGGCCCTTTCTTAGAATCACAATCAAGTAGTCACCAAACAAAAACAAACTAACTCCCCTAAGCTTATTCAAAGCCATAATCACAATCATATTTACAAAAAGCGTAAACGCTTCTCCCCCAAGCTTAAAGGAAGCATTGTCCTCAATGCTTGACAAGGGTAAAAGAATTACATCAAAATATTTTTGATTTTTGACATTTTCAACTATTTTTTTTATGCATAAAATCAAAGCAATTGTCCTCGCCTCTTTATCTTTGGACGGCTTTTACAACTTTGCATTTATTATGTCCATGCCATTTTTAACTTTGGACGGCTTTTTATATCATACATTTGCCATTATTCACAAAATATTTACAAAACACAAGCTTGCTTACAAAAGGAACCAATGTCCATACTTATAAACCACAAACTCCACAAAAATGACCATTTGCTTCACCAAAAACCAAAAATGGAACAAAAAAAACAAAAGGCTCAAAATTCTAAAGATGTGGCTTGAAAATAAGGGAAAAGACTCAAATGGTTAGCAAGAGGGCAAATGTAAACCCAAAGAACTAAAATAAAGAAGAGTAAACCTAGAAAAAGAAAAATTACCACCCCGAAAAGATGCCTAAGTCTTCCCTAGATGGTTTGGTCTCGTGTTTGAGAATTATGAGTCAAGATTAGAAATTAGGTCCGCAATAGTCAAGGATCCATGCCACTCATGCAAGATATGTAGAAGGCTTGAAAAATGAAGAACCTCACATGGATGTAGCAAAAACTCATTATAGGTGTCAAATCGACCATAGGAAGCAACTACCAACATGCCACAAACAAGTAGAATCCGGTTTCATGATCCTCCTAGTTCTAGAACATGCTACCTTAGCATACACCTATCCTAGAGTCAACCAAGCATATTCTCAAACCGTGCATACCCATACCATTTAGGAAGATATTCATTCAAAAGCAAAAATCGGTTATTTATAGTCCAATTCAAAAAGAAAAACAAAAAGGTGACAAATAAAGCCTAAAAAACATTCCAAAATCCAAAAACAAATAGAAGAAAAATAAAAGAAAAGAAAAGAAAAGAAAAGAAAAACATAGATAAAGGAAAAGAAGGAAAATGAAGAATGGAACGAATATGCAAGTAGAACATGTAATTCCCAATCGACAAACAAGTGATCAAATGACAACATCGCCAATGATCCCAAACATTCTAGGTGTTAAAAGCATCCATCCTCGAACCATTCAACTCTTCCTAAAACAAATCCTAAACTATGCATCCAAGAAAATAAAAGAGAATAAAGAGAAATAAGAAAGATCTCACCGGCTTCCAAGCAATGCTAAAAAAAGGTAAGGTGGAGAATCAACCACCTCGTGAAGCTCCAAAAATCAAAGCATCATCATCAAAACCATGTGAGAACAAAAATGGAAAAGAAAACTATAGACAAAGAAAATGGTTAGTAACTTCAAAACAAAAGAAAAGAAAAGAAAACGAAGAGGAAAGAAAATAAAAAGCAAAAATAAGCAAAACTAAACTATCAAGAAAACAAAAATAAGAAAATAAGAACTAACTAAACATCTAACTAAACAACAAAATACTAAACTATAAAATTTGGATTCAAGGGGTTCGGATTCATGGGATTTGGATTTTGGGGGTTTGAATACAAGGGAGCAAACACACATCATCATCACAACAACAACAAGATCAAAAATGAGCAAACATCATCAAAGTAGGATCAAGAATGAGATAATCATGCAAATTATCAAGAGAAACAAGGCAAGTTTCAACAACAAATTGGCCACCGAGACAAAACCCCTAAGAAAAGGAAAAGTTCCCCCAAGCTAAACAAAAATACATCTCAACATCCCAATAATACAAAGCAAGCACACATAAGACAAGGGATGGAGGCACATAGCACAAAAATGAAGGAACTAGCAACCACTACCACTCGGCCCGGAGCCATCATTGTTATCCCCATCATAGGAAAACCCGGATGGGGGACCATGAGGAACCCATCCCCCGGTGTAACCGGGTGGCCAACCATAATGCCCCCGAAAGTTATCTTGTTACCAAGGGGCAAGGGGAGTGAATTTCTCGGGCAAGGCGAGCGGTAGTGGATGATCGGGGTGTACATAAGGGTAGTTAGGATCACCCCTATAATCGCTCCCACCGGGAATACGGTAATCATAGTTGCCGTGCTCATCAGGGAATGAGCGAGTCTCGGTGTTGGACCCCGGGGGTCCTTGCCAATATGGGTACGTAGGTACCCCATCACCCCCAAAAGATGGTAGAGGACCATATTGGGGTGGAAAGTAAGGGTAGTTAACCGGGGGAGTGATTTCTCCCCTGTTAACACCCGCATCATATAAGTGTTGTTGTTGGAGAAACAAACCTTGTTGCATCTCCGAAACCCCTCTCATATGGGTATCGAGGGCCTCAAAATCTTGATCATACATGCCCTCCAACCGGATTTGCATTCCCTTCATTTGATCACTAAGGGCATCCAAGTCGGAGCTAGCATATTGATGATGTTGCTCTTGTTGTTGTTGTTGTTGTTGTTGTTGTTGTTGTTGTTGTTGTTGTTGTTGTTGTTGTTGCGGCTCTTCTTCTTCTTTTTATTCACCCATTTCTTCATCATCATTGTAGTAGGGCGGGCGGTGACTAATGGGGACATGCCAAATGTTTGCAACATTCTCTCGGTGGAGACAGGTCAAGGAAGGGTTAGGGAGATAACACCAATGCTCTTGTCCCTTAGCCGCTCAAATACCTCGTCGTCATCATTCTTTGCCAAGAAATAGATTTGCTAAAATTGCTTGACGTCAAGGTGAAGAGAATCATCATCCTCCACCGGAGTGCAAGATGGCAATTAATGTCGTAGCTCAAAGTTGGTCACTAGCCTAGTGACCATGCTCCCACAAGGGATCTCGACGGATTCCCTACCTTGCAACCCTTGGCAATATCTTGCAAAACTGTACCCCAAGTTTAGGCGACCCCGGTGCTCCGCATGAGTAGCCACCCACAAAATCCGAAGTTCCAATTGGCTCATCTTTCCCAATTCTTGCTTCGGGAACACCGAATATCCCAATAGCCTAAGGAGAACCTAGAGACATGGTTGGTATACCTTACTAATCTTGGCATACCGGGTCACAAAGTCACTGCTATCAGAAATATCGTCCCACCACGAATTCTGATCACACTCATCGTTGAAGAAGTGCTCGGGATCCAAAATATCAGAATTTGGATCAAAGTCAAGAGCCGCATTAAACTCTTCCAAAGATTGATCAAATTGAATGTTGAAGAGTTGAAATTGGACACGGTAGATATCACCCTCAATCACCACAAGATCAAACGTGGCCAAGAACTCCAAAGTTGGTTGAACATATGTACGGAAGCTCCGGCTCACAAAATACTCCATGCGAAGGTTGTTGAGCAAGTCCCTCAAGTCTTCATCAATCCCCAATTTAATCATATCCGGTTTAAAATAGTGACTGGTGTAGGCATCTACTTTTGGCCTCCTGTCTCGATAGGAAGTGCAATGACGATAAATAAAGCCATCTTTGTGTTGGATCAAAGTGAAGAATACTTATAAATAACTGGTTAAGCCACAAAACACAAAAGACTAGCCCAAATTAAAGAAAAAAGCCAAAACAAAGGTCCAATAAGCTAAACCCGATCATAATAAGGCTTAAGCCCGTGCTTAAACCCTAATAATGACGGATTTAGGAGCGCCTAGGTTAAAACTTAGTGCTTCCGCAGAAAAAGCCGCGCGCAACTCACAAAGTCGTGTTGGGCTGCCGCGCGCAACTTCCAGAGTTGCGTTGTGGAAGATTTGTAATTATTCGGAAAATCGAATCTTACCATAAAGCCGCGCGCAAGACCAATAGTTGCGCTGCACGTAGCAGCGCAACTCTATAACTTGCGCTAAGTTGCGCGCGACACCTGCTGCGGCAGATTGCTCGAAACCCTAAACCTATTCCTTCTCTATAAGTACGAGCTTAAACCGAGGCTTCAACAGACATAAGTTAACCTAAAACTCTGGCGAAATAACTTGTGAACTTGTGCAACCTAGCCCTCTTGTCCTAAACAATCACCCTTTCGATACTTTGTTACTATGGTGGAGGTTCCCCAACAAGAAGGTGTCCATAAGTTTTCTACACGGAGAT